GTTCTAAAGTGTTTTGTTTAATACAGGTTTCGGAAGAGTTGTCTTGCTGTGTTGCAAGTGGCCTCTGATAAGGAAGGGGCAGCAAACTGTAGACATATGTTATATTAAGTTGCCCTCACTTGTCAGGTCTTGGAAACCCACGTATTTTATTGCAGATGCCTCTATTATACCACGTTACAAATTGACTAAGCATACTTATTATCCTATTTTATTTTAGTTATTTCACATTGCGCAGCCTATGCAAACAATGTCTAGGTCCCAACAAGAGCCAGCATTAATACTGTTTTATCTATATATAAAGTATTAAAACCATGAACCATCTGTATATTAGGCTGAGGTTGTGCTTGGTATTGAGGAACCTGCCAGGGTGGGTCCTTGAACGCCAGCTGGGCCAGGTTCTCCTTTAGCACCGGGTTCTCCTTTGTCTCCTTGAGCACCAGGTTCACCATTGTTACCCTTAGGACCAGGGGAACCTCTGGGGCCTTGAGGTCCAGGAGCACCATAGGCACCAGGGAAGCCAGGGACACCAGCAATACCAGTGGGGCCAGCTTGACCGGGAGAACCAGGTTCACCACAAGCACCTTGGGGTGAATCCCTGCTATCCACAATTAAAACAGTGCTGAAGTTACCACTTCTACAAAAGTGAGATCCTTTGATCAAATCCTCTACCTCTGCTTTCAAAACTTTTCTGATTCAATCTCCTATCACCTCCCAAATGTCCTTGTCTCGTCTGCTTAAGATCACAATCCTTTTGTGACCGATACAACATACTTTTCCCTCTTTCTTCATATCAAAACAACCTGCCGTATCTTTCTCATGAATCTTCCCAAGAAATTCAGTTGGGGTCAAAGAGCGCCAGTCACAGACCAACAGTTTGACCAAAAGTGAACAAGGAGGAAGCATATTCCATATGCAGGTCGAGATGACCTAACTCACACCCCCTCTTTGTGTACCACACAGATATAATATTAATAAGCTTTTGAAGATTTATTGTATATGTATAGCACGGTCGTCTAGGGGTGTATACATAAACAGTGAAAGCAGAATCTTCATATAGGGTTTGCAATACTGACAGTCTGGGTCATAGGTGTAATGCAGACATGCGGTTAGGTACTTTTCCATTGTCAGAATACATTGAAAGCACTAATATATTGCAAATATTAAAATCATATTGCAGCTGTTTCCTATACCTGCAAGGATATGGTTGTAATACTTCAATTGAGATCAAATTGAGTATCAAAAATTCTAACCACAAAAACTAAATTTTATATGCTTATCAAAAATGAGTTTAACCCCTTAGCAATTTAATAGGGTGACCTCTTCCCATAGTATGGTTCCTTTTATAATTATTATATTATTTATTCTCTTCTGGGTCTGCAAAATGCTTTCAATATACCAATACAAATATAATACAGTAGTTAAGAATTGCCTCAAAAGAAATCTGATCTCTATTAAAAATACCATTTCATCATTTTGCTATAATCAATGAGGCATACTAGATGAATCTTAATCTTGGAAAAAAAAACCTATCCTATACATCCATAATTTGTTTTGTTATATAACCATATAACATAACACTTGTTTATGTTAAAGATAACAAATTTTTCTTTTTCTTAAATAATGCAATGCACTTTAAAAGTAGCGTTAACTCTTAAAGGACCACTATAGTGCCAGGAAAACATACTCGTTTTCCTGGCACTATAGTGCCCTGAGGGTGCCCCCACCCTCAGGGACCCCCTCCCGCCCGGTTCTGGAAGGGGGAAAGGGTTAAAAACTTACCTTTTTCCAGCGCTGGGCGGAGAGCTCTCCTCCTTCTCTCCTCCTCCGTTCCTCCTCCTGGGCTGAATGCGCACGCGCGGCAAGAGCTGCGCGCGCATTCAGCCCGTCGCATAGGAAAGCATTTGCAATGCTTTCCTATGGACGCTTGCATGCTCTCACTGTGAAAATCACAGTGAGAAGCACGCAAGCGCCTCTAGTGGCTGTCAATGAGACAGCCACTAGAGGGAATAGGGGGAAGGCTTAACCCATTGATAAACATAGCAGTTTCTCTGAAACTGCTATGTTTATTAAAAAATGGGTTAAGCCTAGCTGGACCAGGCACCCAGACCACTTCATTAAGCTGAAGTGGTCTGGGTGCCTAGAGTGGTCCTTTAATACTCCCCTAATAATACAGAGACAGAGAGAGAGACATTTAAAATTGGAAACGTGGATC